CAGCCAGAGAGTTTTCGAATTTGCCGAATGCAATCTGTTTTAATTCTTCGAATTGGAATTTAAAGTGTTGGTTTTTGTGGAAGTACGAAGACCGAAGAACGCGGAGAAAAGCCTTGGGAGCAAGGCGAGAACCATCAACAAATTTAACCCACGTGTGACACCGCGCCGGAATCGAACTCGCGCCACATTGGTGGGAGGCGAGCGCTCTCATCACTGTGCTATCCCCGCTAGCCATAACCTAAAACTAAAGAGAAAATGGTGCAATAAAATCCGGTAAAGATCTATGCTTATTAAGATCAGATCGATATCGTGAAACACCCTCACGGTTATGGTTTCTTTTGTTTAAACTTTAAAATTGATGAATTAATAATGAGTTTGAACAAGAGATTATCAACGTGAAAGTTAGTTGAACGTTTGCTAAACAATGCTACTGTGCTATACAAACCGTAGGGTCACTATGGTCGCTGGAGTGTCATTTAGAAACGTCAAAAACGGAAGTAAAGCAAGAATGGTCAAAAAGAGTGCGAAGTTGAGCCCGCAGTCAACAGCGCATGTGCCTTTCTTCGCTTCTCTTGATGTTTTTCCCGTTTCAGTGACGCAGGCGCAGTTGGAGTAAGAAAAGGAGCCCTGAAAGGAAACAGCACAGAAAAGGATTACAAGATAACAACGAGGTCAACAAAATACCACGAACAAATACAGCGATATTGCACGCCATAACGATGAATTGAAATACCTTGTTCGTTTCGTTCCCCTCACTACAGCCAGCATGACAGGGCGAAAAATAGGTCAGCGGTCCACCGCACACAGGAACATAACTTACTCCAGTACAGTTACAGGCCTGGTTACATGGTGAAGAGAGCTGGACTGGACCCGAGCTGTATGAAATTTAAGGTAATACTTTATTCGTGACTTAAATTAAACACATATCGTTCTTCTTGCACATGGACAGCATTTGTCCAAGTGAAGGATGGAAGGAAGGAGGGAAAGAAGGAAAACAGGATGGAATGAAGAAAAAAGGAAAGAAGGAAGGAAGAAAAGAAGAAAGGAAAGAAGGAAGGAAGGAAGGAAGGAAGGAAGGAAAGGAGAGCGAGGGAGGGAGGGAGGGAGGTAGAGGGGGAGAAGATAAGGAAGGAGCCTCTTACCTGTTCAGATATGGTCTGTTCACACCAGCAATATTTGGAGTGTCACATTTGATGTACAGGACGCACGCACCCATAAGTCCAAATAGAGCAACAATAAAACACATCCTGGCGGAATTAGTCAGGTTTAGTTTTAGGCGTTTGTTGATATATGCCCCTGGAAACAGAAATCACAGTACTTAGTTGTAAGTAACCATTCTCCTGCGCTTGCTCAATAGAGAGCCATTTAGTTGTTTTGAGTTTCTGGAAGAAGAGCCAGTGAACCGTAGCAGAAACAAAAAGTGCATCTTTTTCTACGGAATTTAAATCCTCGATGGTAGATCGTCTGAAGGTTTAAGCACTTGACTACTCGGCCCGAGAGAATCAGTAAACTTTGTTTCCTGAGAATTTCATTTTCCTGAGTTTCGAGTCAAAGAAATTAATTGGATACTCGAGATACCAGTTATCAAGAATTAAGTCCAACATACAGACATCACTATATATGATTTGAAAACAGACTGTTACGCGCTGACGTCAGAGAGTTGGTAATGTTGCCACTCTCGCGACTATATAGGCGGTAAACCGTCTCATTATCATGTGACCTCAAAGTAGCCAATAAGAGCACTTGCTGTTGGGGCAGAAGTTCCAGCTATTTTGGAAACTGTCTTTTTATTTCTCACCTATCAAGTTGCCTAAGAATCCACAAGGTACAGCTATCACGCCAAACAAAAGAGCTGCTTTGCCAGGTGGCAGATAAAACTGCGTTTGCATGATTTTTGGCAAGAACGCTGTTGCAGCTGTGAAAAAAAAATTCTCCAAGCAGACACCAAGTGTGATGAATACGAAAGGAAGGCGTGAAAACACCAGCTTTGTTGCTTTGGGAAGATCTTTCAACTTGGTGTAGCTTGCTTTTTCTCTTCTTTTCTCTGCTACTTCGTCTTTTTTGATCTAGAGGAGAATACCAGAAATTTCTTATTTGAGCCTTTGATCTCCAGCAAGAAGATCTACTGGTTATGCAGTGCTTTCTAGGGTATACTATGGAACAACTCACGAGTCACTTGTACTTTCTCGGTAGATACACGAGCTTTTAGGAGAGTGTGTATGCCGAGAAAATACAAATAAAATAGATTATATTTGCCTTATGCCAGCTCTGTATTGTAAAGGGCTACCTTTTGCCAGAACAGTCTGTAATGAGTACATGTATGTATACCCAATGAAGTCACGGTGAGAGTGGCCCGGTCATTCTACTGCTTTTTCATCCCTACCGTGCGAAAACAGTTTAATCAGCGCATGCGTAGTAAACACAAAATTTAAATTGATACAGGGCGCTTATCCAGGACGGGATGCGTATTTTGATTTTTTTTTAGTTGTGATCTGCTAAGTGCCTAACTCTAAACCAACATCACAACTCCTTCTCAACTCAAAAGTCGAAAAAAACACACTGATGTTGGAAGATGGTTTGTATTTGAAAGTTCACCTCTCGGAATATGGGAGAGGGGAGCGGGGACAGGGTGCGGGGGTGGGGTGGGGGCGATTTATTGAGAGGCGTCAGAACACTCCTAACGCTAACTTGGTTGTCAAGGAAAACAATTACGTTTTGTTCATTTCACTTATCATGCACTTTTTTGGGTTATTTTTCAAGGAAGAAAAAAACTTTCACAGCATCCGACACTCTAAATAAGTAACCTACCACTCTGGCTGAAAGTTTATCTTCGCCGAGTGTCTCGCCGAGTTCGATTTCGCGCTGTTTCTTGGTCGGCGGAAACTCCTTCGGGAATCCTAACAGCCAAATGCTCCAAAACACGCAGATCGCACCAAATATGGCAAACCCTAACCACCAGTTCCCCACCCACCGTGTATCCTGCATTGTTAACGAGGTCTGGACACCAAGTTCCACAAACATTGACAGAAAGCTTGAGAGCAATACGAATCCAACAGCGGCACCTGAAATGATATGAAAAGAAAATACACGCAAAAAGAAACAAATCGCGCCGTTACAAACATCAATGTTTCTTCTATGATTAATAGTTATTTCAGCGACAAACACAGCAAGAATAAAATCCCAGGGGTTCGACGGACGTTTGAAAACAGTACGCAGATCACATAAATGTAGTTATTGTGTATACTTTTACATAACACACATCGTGTTCGACTGCATATCGATTGATTCTCTCATATATTGATTGGTTCCGTGTCATGGACAACTATTTGCTGATAGAGAAGAAATTCTTCTTCCAGTCTCAGCACCTTAGCTTGGTGACTCTTAGAAACTCTTAGAAACCCCAGTTGAATTAGTCATATAATATTTAGAATAATGACTATATATGTAATTGTTTTATAAGTATCGTTTTAATATAATCGTACGATTTGTTCAGTTGAAGACGCGCTGAAGACAGAAAAGTCATTATACATCAACAAAGGCTTCAATCGAGTCACCATGACAACTAACCAGCAATTCCACAGGCCAAAAATATACCCACATACATAGGCGACACTTTGGCGCTGACGTTTTCGTCCATATATGGAACGCCCAAAGCGATCATAGGAGTGCAACCGGCGCCTGCTACAACCATTCCCAGAATGAACAGCGCGTAGTAAAGAGTATTACCGCCGGTGGTTTCTTCTTTGCAATCACTTTTCCCGCCAAAATCAGTGCGATTTGCGGCGCAAAGTCCTGAGTCACTCACAATGGCATTCGTGAAGACACCTTATTGGTGAAGAGGAAGAAGACATAAACACGCCTTTAGTATTTTCTAGAATTCTTTTTCTTTTGGTGACCACTTCAAATGGACATACCTGCTTCGTAAGGTGGCGAGACAAAGTGAGGCAGGATGAAAATAAAGAAACCAACACCCATTGTGCACACACCCCAAGAACAGAACACTGGCTTCTTTCGTGAGCCTCCGATGTAGCTTATCAGCGGAGTTAAGATCATGGCTGCTACGTCGTAACTGCTGGTCACCATTCCCATCATGTAACTGTAATCAAGTATAGTTTTCAACATTATGGTCAGCAATAATTGCTAAGCATTGTATTTTTCTATAGTGACTACTATGGGAAACATTGCCCTTGTTTCCCCTCCTTTCGCGCGCATGTCGCCCCCAGGATTTCACGCGGCCATTTTTTCCTCGCGGTTTATTTACGGGGTGCTTTCCATTACCCCAAACCGACCGGTTAGAGATCAGTGGGAATACCCGAAGAAAATGGGGCGACATTTTCCGATTAAACCGGGCCAACCAAAAGCAATGGCTCTTGCCACTTTTTATTCCTTTTCCGAATTCTCTAATTAGGGCAAAGAACCGGTTTGTCAAAAATGGAACGGCGAATTTCGGTCGGAATATTCCAACCGAAATAAGCTGACCACCTCCAGAGGTGATCCTGAATATTCCGGTCAGAAGAAACCGAAGTGGACCTTTCCATTTGAATTCCGACCGAAGTTTCCAGAATCTTTGGCATAATGGAAAGCACCCACGGTCTCGCTCGACGGACTAAGCGAAAGAGGGACTACTCGTAGTCTACGCGGGAGACATTTTTCCATTAGCAATGTCGGAAAACAACTCGGATTCATGCTTTTAGCTGTGCATCATCGAGTTATCATGCTCTTGTGAAAGCTGGAAAGCGCTCACTGAAAAAGCTAGAGTTGCTCTCGGCTGCCCTCTTGCCCTTCTTTCGTGTTCTCCAAACCTCTTGTGTGCATCAGTACTCGATGAATGAACAAGTTGTTAATTTTACGTTTGATGTGTGCGCTTTTAAGTTGTTATTAATATTTTGTTACAAAAAGAGTGGTATACATGTAAGAATCCTGTTTCTGCAGTCGCAAGCTCCATGTTTACAATCTTCTTAAACGGGCTGTTTTACTACAAAACAGCAGAAAAGCAACACAGCTGAGTATGAGTGAAAGACCTACAACATTCGATACTTTTTGTAAAGTTGAATAGAAAAAACTCTTGCTAAAAGAAATTATGAATAGGTTC